ATAAAATAGACAAGATGCTTGGAATGTAATCATTTGCATAAGATTATGTGGAGCTTAAAATTGCAAATATCTGGATGGGAACTCTTTATTTCATTTTTATTTTTGAAGTCTACCATTAGGTAAATTATCGATGTGAAAATCAATTGCATAAGAGTCCGTGAATAAAGAAAATTTTCTTCATTTAATTGCGCCAACGCTACTGCAACAAATTTTTCTCAGTCATCTGAAAATGTTGCTTTCATATGCATCTCCATCAGTCGAAAAAATTACAGAATTTTCCTCTAACAAATCGATTTTGCCAAAATGAATAAAAAAAAGTTATAACATAAAAAATGACAAGATTATTTCCCCCCAAGAAGCTATCGAGCCTCTATGGATGTTCCTGAATCTGATATTTTTTATGTATGTTCACATATGCATAGCATCCACCCTAATTATATTTCCTAAATTTATGGGCTTATTACACGACAATGGAGTTGACTAACTAATGCAGCCCATCCCCCCTCCGACCCCGCCAAGCTCCCTTTATACCGCGTGTAAACCTCTGTAGACCTTCATTACGCGCCGGTTGAATTAATAATACTCAATTATTGGGCCTTAGTACGTGAGCTAAATTATATTAATCGACAGGCAAAGTCGTGCGGAATTACAAAAATTCATGAGAACGTGAAAGAAACGTCAAAGAATATCCAACGTAATGCAACACGGTTCCAATTCGATTTAATTAATTTTTCTAATGAATTCTATTATTCGGTTTTTACAAGAGAGAAATTTAATTTAGCTCTGTGGGATTAAATGTCTGGAAAATGTTCATGAGTTGATTTGAAAAGTTTTGGTACTGGTTCTTTCGTTCTATTTTACGCTCTTCGGAATATCGAAAGTAGGTGGGCCTGTCTGACAATGATTTATGTACATCTGCCAACACCACCAACAAATTTTACATTTGGTATTGAGTCTTCGTGTTAAAGACTAACAGAGCCAACTGTAATGGCATGACGTCAGGGATTGGCTTTTTTTTAAACACATTGTGGTAGAGGCGGATGAGTCTAAAATGAGTTTGCAGATCATTTTCGCAAATAGCTTGGGAGGGAAGAGCTTTAGAAGAATTTATCAAAGGAGCTTTTTCGTGAAGCATTTTATGAGCTACAGAAAAGATATTTTGACATTTTTCTGCAAACCGTTTGGGTACAGAGATATTTACCACCAAATTTTTTGTAAAATAGATTTTCAGAAAAGCCTAAGAATCTTGGGTGATCGCGCACTCATCTCCAGAACAAATAATTTTAGAAAAAACTTCCTCTAACGAACATCAATGGTAGGCCTCGCAAGTCTCCACAAAATATGTATTTTGAGATTTCCTGTCAAGGGGCCATTCAAATATTACGTCAAAAGTTTTTTGGAATTCTTAGACCCCTCCCCCCTCAAAATCTACGACCCCCTCCCACTGTTCTGGAAAATTTCTTAGTTTCTTCATAAAATTGAAATTGAAAAATAAAAATAAGAACAAGAAAGCAGCTGATTATTATTGTGATGAGGAGAACAATTAAATCTTTATGTGACGAGCCTTGAACATTTGGTCATTTATTAAATTCTATAGCGAAGTGGTAAATTAGGATAAGTGCAAAAATAGAACTTTTTCAGGAGAGTTTAAAAATTAGACCACGCTTAAGAGAACAGCCGATTCAAGCAATAGAAAATTAAAAACAAAATTGCACTTATGCTAGTTTATCATTTCACTGTAGAATTGTTGCCATCACAGTATTCTGAAATGACCCTTTGGGAATCTTTAAGATAGCTTGAAGTATTGGTGAAATCTTTGCTTTTTTTCGTGAGGAAAAGGGATGAAAACAAAATTGCATTTGCGATTTCGTCGATTAAAAATAGAGAAAAAATACGGCGTGACATCACAACCTAAGCAACCCTTTCCTCTCATTTTGTCACAGAGCGTCACAAACTACAGACGCCACACCTCTCCCCCAATCGTGTGACATAATATTTAAATGTCTCTCAAGTCCCTTGTTCTCGACATAGAAAATTGATAAAGTTTCCAGTTTCCAGAACAAGTTACAGATTCTAAGAAATTCATGGTTTTAGAAGAAGCAGGATAGCCATATCCATCAATTATAATTACTGTTAAATTATTAAGTCGTCAATTAGTTAATATTACTTTCAAATTTTAATTATTGAAGTAATCATCAATTTAAATAGTCAAATTTTGAATTATTCATTAATCAGTAATTGAGGTAGGAAGATTGTGACAATTATGTGGACAATCGGAAATCCCTTATAAGAAATTAAGTATTATCTACTTAATCGAAAATTTGTAGTTCCATATTGTTAAATATTTAATTCATCATCAATTGTAAATTTAGGTTATCAATTATTTTACTATTTTTTAATTTCTATTAGTATATTTAAACCTTCATTTATGTAAGTCAGAAAAATTCTTTTAATGTTGAAAAAAATAATATTGATGGTCATCCCTGCGTAGAAGGCATTGTAATGGCAATAAGAGAATGGTTCCTTCATTTCAAAAAAACATCCCTCAAACAATTGGGTTCTTAGATTAAGAACCTTTGCGTTTTTTAAACAGAACATTCGAGAATATTCAGAACATTGGAGAGGGCTAAAATCTTGGAATAATTGAACACTAATTCATCGTTTTCTTTCTATTTTTGCTTCCGAATGGAAGCCTTGTAATCGATGATTTTTACGATCTCGTAATTTTGCTTGGAAATAATGTAACAGATCATGAAACGTGAAAATATGATGTTTTTTAGAAAATGTATGTATGTATGTCAGAATGTGTTTGCCGATTTTTCGTAAATTTTTTATGAATACCCCCGAAAAAAGGACTAAAGTTTGAGCTCAAAATCTGAAATTTTGTCGGATAATTGGTATTACTTTGGAGCATTTGTGGGCGTAAGTCCAGCTTAATCGGCTCAGTAGTTTCCGAGATATAGCAATTTCTCAAAAATCTTTCTTCCTTAATATCTCATAAGCTACATGACCGAATTGAAATTTTTTGACGGGAAAATATTCCTTACGGTAATATCTATCGAATCAAATCAAAATATTGCTACATAACTAGGGTCAGTTTAGTAATAATCGGCATTTTTCATTTTTACTAGGAAATCGTGGGGGAAACGATAACTCGTTGAAAATTCAAGATAGGAAGTTGAAATTTGGTAGGATTGTAGCTCTTATGATACTACAGAACTGTATTGTTCACGAGCTGAATCGGATAAGTAGTTAAGAAGATATTCAACTTTTTGTGAAAAACTGTTATGCTTAATATCTCCTAAACTACTGGGCCGATTCACTTTTTTTTTTCAAAATACTTGTCACGATATCTTCTATCAAGATCAATCAAAATATGTATACCCGCCCACACAAAGTTTTCGAGATATCAGCGTTTTTCTAATTTTTTAATTTTAAAGTTAATGTGGTGTCCATAATACGCGTCAAGTTTGTTCTAGACATCTGAAATTCTGGGTACTAATTTGTATTATGAGCTCACAGTTATATATAAACTTTTGTGTCAATCGATTCAGTACATCCGGGGATAGAGCAATTTATCCAAAAATTTTTTTTTCTAAAAAATTACACATCGTCATTTTATCAATGATTTTCGTCTCTATATATGATTTAAAAAGCCATAACAACAAACAATCGGAAGCTTATTACCAATGGAATTGGTAGAAAAAAAAAGTATGTGACATTTGCAAGAATTTGGCTTCTGCCAAAAAGGCTTACAATTCTGCTTGTTTTCATGTTCCGATCAATGGATCGTAAAATGGATATATACCTTTGTTCTACGGAGACTAACGAGCATTTTGAAAAAAAAATTTGTCAATCAGATGAAGACTGAGGCACTTCGAGGGCGATTTTAAAAGTAAAATGAAAAACGTTTTTCGTTGATTCATGGGGCATACCGCGTGGGCTCGTCACTTATCCGACTTTTCAATATATGCTATCATATATTAAAATTCAAGCTCAATAAGTCCCTAGCTCTAACGAGGACTTTCGAATTTCAACGCGGTCTCCCCTTAGTGATATCCAAGTATTTAGGCTATTTTTTCTGCAGCGAAATGCTTTTCTACTTTTGTAGTCGAACATCAGAGCTTTCATTTGAGCCCATTTGACCGTAAGTTTCTGTACATTCTATAATGATTTTATTATTTAAACTTTGCAGGTCTGAACTTGAATTTCGATATTGAATCGTTAGAAAACATTTTACAAATCTGAAAAAAAAATTTTTACTTTTGGAGGAAGATTGATGAAATAATTTATAAACAATCAATTTACTGCCATAAAAATTGTTTGTCCGGAATCGTAAAAAATTGATTCATATTCTGAATTTTACTAGAAATCGATGTGATGCCTAAAAAAATATGGTTTGGTAAAATTTAAACAATTTCAATTATTTATTTGTAAACAACAAATGTTTAAAAAAATAATAATTGCGTGCAAAACGTGATTTAAATGACACTGAGTATTCATGATATTTTCACAATTTTCTCATGTTATTTCATTGACAAATCTGATGATTGAGGATAGTTGAATCTATAGTGTGGTCTGTACCAAACCGCAAAAGATACTTGGATATCCTTAAAGTAAGTGAAAATTTAATCTTTAGCCAGATTTTAGTACCACAGAGTTCCGAAATTCAGACAGTTGTCTGCTGGAAAGTAAATACTTTTTTCCCTGTGATCGAAATAAATGCCAGATCCATTCTTTCTTCCTATTCACCACAAATCCAGAACTGCTGCTGAGATTATTCCGCAAATATCTCCAAACAGAATGAATAAAAAAAAATTCATTCGGAGATATACTACAGAATTCAATTGTCTACAAAAAAATTATTTTAATTGTTCTTCCATACCCTCATTTCCAAGACACTTGGAAAAACATCTGAACTAAATTTTCAAATTAACCTCGCTTCTTGTTAATCCGTCTTCGCACAATAAATTTTGAGATTTCCATTGGTATTGACTTACCTGAACATCAAAATGAGTGGTCGTATCCTGAGGCTGTGGAGGTCCCTGCTGCTGCTGTTGCTGTTGAGCCTGAGGTGGTCCCTGTGGTGGCAATGGCCCCTGAGCACCAAACAACTGAGCAGCATGTGAATGAGGATGCTGAAGATGATGAGTAGGTGGTTGATGATGCTGGAGATGATGTGGTGCTGGTGCAAATGCTGTCATATAATGCTCCTCACTTCCCACAACATCACCAGGTTTCAACAGAACAACACCACCAGCACCAGTATTAACAGCCAGTGTAGCCCCTGCATTCTTTTGGAAGTCCTCCTCACCAGGAGATGGTTGTCTACTTCCTGGAGTACGACTACAATAGACAAAAATATTTCTATCAATTCATTTCATTTAATTTGCTCGATTCTAGCGTTTTTTCAATTCATTATTCTTAATTATTGACATAGAAAATAAATAACTGAGGATTGAACTACATTTAACTAGAGCACATACAGTAAATTGACTAACGGTGAATTGCACATTGTAGTGTAACTATTGTTTGCAACTTCCTGGGGATGAGTATAGAGGATAAATGAAAATAAAGAGGATACTTTCCATATGCTGGAAAAAACCGTTACGTGAATGTGAATAGGAATGATAAGGTGCCTGCAAGTATCTGCACGAACATTTATCCTTGATTTTATACTGAATGTTTTTTGCCAATAGTTCCATTAATAAAATTTCCCACTTGTCAACGTGGAAAAGAAATGGATAGGATCACATTACACAGAATCAAGTAAAAAGTTCTCTATATTCAAGTAAAAAGTTGAATATTTGAGTCGAGAATCCATCATAATTGCATAATTAATAGAATGGAAAGTAAATGAGATCAGACGACTCATATTACTCCTTTTTGTAATTACAGTGAAAAACAAATTTTATTGAATGAAAAAAAAGGAATAGTTCAATATAAATGATGGAGAGTATTCTGTGCATGCCTGGAATTTTTTTGATCGCCTAGAATCTTTCAGGGCTCGATGATTATCAAAATATGTACTTCAATTTTGTTGAATTTGAGAAGTGTGTTCAAGTGCCGATAGAACAGTTCTCTGCATTGAGGGATTTAACACGAGCTCCAATAGATGGTGCACGTGACAGAATTGACGTAAAAACATTACGTCAAAACATCAACATGACAGTTCGTTATTCAACGATTCAAAGATAATTTCAAAAATTCTGTGAAGTCAAATTTGCAAAAATTTCTAAATGAATTAGTTTAAAGGAAAATTGCATGAGGTTTTCTCCCTCTGACTACTTTCCCTAAACCAACTACAGGGTTCGACAAAGTTTGGACGTCGTCGACCTCAAAAAACGGGACTGATCCCATTTTATAGATATTTTAATATTGATTTTTAATTTATTTTGAAAAATCTTTCCAGCACGTCTAGGTTTCGTGAAAAATAAATGTTCAAGTGTTGAAAAATTTATTAAAAAATGAATTTGACCGCAGTTTTTCCCAGAGAAAATACAATGAATTAATGAAAATGCAATTTGGTTAGTGCATTTGGGTTCATTCCAATTGGTTAATTCGAAGTGAGTGAAAAAAATCTCGAAAAAGGCCAAATTTCCTGATTTTTCTTGTAAAATTAAATGATCGGAAGTTGATTGCGCACACTTTGGTGCATGCCAATCTCAAACCCACATGTGTTAATCTTGTGCGTTAATCTCTTTATTTTCCAACTTTATTTCAGCAACTAAATTCCTTCACATCTGAGGGTGACTTCGCATAAGGGCAATTAACCGGTTACCTTGCAGGAAAGGCATCTTCAAACTTCATTTTAAATCAAGTTGAGGTTAACACACGGGCGTAGATAGATTTGAAATTGGCGTGCATCAAAGTGAGTACAACCAATTGCCGATCATTTGATTTCACAATAAAAATCATGAAATTGGGAATTTTACAGGATTTTGTTCACTCGTTTTAACTCAACCAATTGGAATAAAATCGAATCGAGTGAACAAATCGCATTTTCATTAATGCATAGTTTTTTCAGGGAAAAACTACGTCCAAATTCATTTTTTTACAAATTTTTCAAATTGTTCATTTTAACCATTTTTCAACATTTCAATATTTTTTTCTCAAAAACTAGACGTACTGGAAAGATTTTTCAAAGGAAATTGAAAATCACCATTAAAATATTGTTAAGATGGTGTCAGTTTCGTTTACGAGGTCGAATACGTTCGAGTTTTGTAGAACCGTGCTATAATAGTTTCGGATAAATTTGCGAAAGGACCTAGAAATTCTCTTTTGACAAGAAGATGAATGTAACCGATTTGGACACAGTATTTTGAAGATATGTCTGGAATGAATCGATTCATCAAGAAATGAAAATGAACCTTTCTCTCTAAATGCGGTTTTTTCGAAGATATTTTCAGAACAATCTGTAGATCAATTTTTGAATTATCTCCTGTTCCTCGTCACTCTACTGAACAATTATTAGCATACATTAATTCATATGTTTTTAAATTAAATAGAATAAGAAAATATTCTTTAAAAAACTTTAGGAAGCTCTCTCATCTCCACCTTATTTATTTATGGAGTTTTTTTCCCTAGTTAAAATCGGGAAAAATATATCATCCTTTTAAATCAAAACGAACAATGAATAAAAGATCAAATAAATTATGCATTCGCTGGCACTTTTCATAGCAACCTGGACACTAAGAGAAAAAACATATTTCTAGGATCAAGTTCATTTTGATCTTAATCATTCATTGTGACAAACTCGAATGGGTTACTCAGAAATCCATCCGTTTTTGTCGCAGTAATGGTCCAATTACCCTCAATCTTTAGAGGGAGGTTTGTGGCAAAAATTTTGTCGACTCTAGAAAGTCTTTCATTCGCTCAGTGAACGGGTATAAACGAGACCCGTCATTTTATGTTAAAAAAAACAAGGAGTATAAATTTATGAAATTCAATTATCAATGAAAATTCGAAAAGAAAGAATTGACGAATTTCGTGGGTGATTAACATGAGAAAATGATCAATTCTGACACAAGGAATAATTTTTCAGTTTGAAAATACCATGTTCACTCAGTGCATGAGACTTATTGACCAATGAGGAATCAAGATTAGTGGTCAGGAAATCCTCATATATTTATTTCTAAGGAAAGTGGAGCAAAATGAAACAGCATGGCAAAATGTTTCATTTTGCCCCACTCTCTCCTATATAATACAATTTCATGACGTGTATTAAATGATTCTCGACCTCCTCTGGATTAAATATTCAAGAACTCGATCTAAGTTGTCAGATCTAGAACTCGGAGAATAATTTTCTCAACATGTATTTGCAGTTTATGTGGCTCTCTTTTTACGAGAATAAACCAAAAGATTTGAATACTCTGGATAAAAATATTCCTTGTATCATCTTTTACAGGTAAGATTCTTTCAACATCTCAGATACACAAAGACTCGGTGAACCAGAAACCTAAGGATTCAATTTCAATAAAGGTATTAATATTCTTATTCATGGCGGAGGGAGGTCAAAGGAGTATTTCGATGTGGAACAGTCCATTTTATAAATTGTGTTTTCGTTCCAGCATCGAGGAATAAATGAAAGAGTTGAACGAAAACATAGGGATATGCTAAGTATCAGTATTGAAAGGTTATTCTCTAAACGAATTTATTTACGTACTTGAATCCTTTGTCATCATCGAGACCGTTCTGAGAGGTAAGTCCATTGCCCTGAGGTCCATTATCATCTTTAGATCCGTCAAACGGACTCGCTGCACCTTTATCCTTGTCCTTTTTATCTGTATTATCATTCTGTGGGAGAAATAAATAAGGAATCAATGTAGATAGAATAAACATACTGGTGTTATTCAATTCCATCATTTTTGTTGATTATTTCAAAGGAATCTTACCAATCGTAGGGAAACCATTCGAGGCTCCAGATCTTTCGGTGTTGTTGGACTTGAACCCAGCACGTATTCAACCATTTTGACACCAAGACCACCAGTCTCACTGAAGATATAATTGGAATAAGTATTATTTTGTATTGAATTAAATTTCAGGAATTGATGGAGGATTCTACACACCTCAAACATCGTGAAAACTAATATATTAGTTGAAACATTTCGAACGATTCTTCGTGTTTTTAGATCGTATAAAATTCCCTATTAAAATGGTCTTTAAATGCTATTAAACATTCGTGAAATATGCAGATGTACTTAAGTATGTTTGACTATTTTCAGAAAATCGATTTTTTTTATAGTTAAGGAAAGTTTTGTGATTTTCCATACTAATAAGGGAGCATATGAAGCCAACATTTTTGATAATTAAGAAGAATTAGTTGCAGTAGTGTTGACGAAATGAATTGAACAAATATTCCTTCTTGAATATCCTTTCAGATCGTGCATTAGAATGCACGATCTCTTATGGAATTTATATTCGAATTAATAATTCACCTACTTGAAGAGTCCTAAAATATAGATAAAAATAGAGAGCAATCCGAAAAATATACTGAATATTAAAAACTTTAAGCTCCATATAAACTATTTATTCCTGAATGATCTATTTGGTTAGTGCATTAAAATTTTCATCAACATGAAGGATATAATTGACTTGAAAAAAATATATAATTTTTTGTGTCTGCGGTTTTGGATAAACATCCTTAAAAAAACTTCCCATTCAGTACAAATTTCATATACATTACATCCCAAGTAGTTGGAAAACCAGTGTATTCACTGAAAAATGTCAAGAGATTTTTTTACAAATGATGAAGTCGAATTTTAATTATGTAAAAATACATTTTTTAATTGCCTATAATTTTTCTACAAAGTAATTCCCTTGACATTTTTCTCTGAATAGCGTTTTCCTCAAGATGTATGTAAAGGAATGATGATATCGATTTTACTCCCTCTTTCAACTTCAACCAATGAAGTTCAATGTATTCACCTGCTTCTGGGGCTGAGTACAGCTCCAACCTCAGATGTTTGATGATGATATCCAGTACCAACACCAACTCGCCTTCCAGTCCCCATCGAGATCGGTTGTGAGACGGCATGATCTGAAAAACAAAAGCAGATAAGAATTACTCCATAATCCTTAATCATCAGAATTTCGTCTAAATCATCTACACTTAAATTATATCCCTTTTTCCTTATTCCATTTGTTCTGATCGTAATTACTCTAATTCTAATTGCTCCGGAGTCACTGAAATCCAATCCTCAAATGACCGATTATTAGTCCTCAATTAAAGGATTGGTAATGATAATGATAAAGTAGACGGGGTTTGATAACTAGGTACGAGCCTGGGCATTGGGACGTTGCCCCCACCAGGTACCGAGCCGATGCCGGGCGTCTGTCGTCATGGTAACAGCCGCGGTGCACCCATCGGGCCACCCCCTCACCCACCTCCCCCTCATCTTCCTTATTCTCTTCATCAAACTTCATACATGTAAAAGTCCTTTTATTTTGCAAAAAATACAATACCGATGGGTAAAATAGGCTGTCATTAGATCGTGAATGAGGGAAAGTGCCGGGTAAAATTGTAATCTCAAGCCTGGAGGTGAATGCCGCAATTTTTTTGTTTGAGATTCAAATTGATTAATTTTTTTCTAACAGCGGCCATTGTTGAATGGTGAAAGAAAATTAGTGGAAATTACATGTAGATTGTTTCGGAATTATCTAGGAAGCGGAGAGATTTGGTGGAATCAGGTGATCTTCTTTATAGGGCTGGACAAGCTCTACAATAGTCTTTCAATATTGTGTTAAGGGGTAACAGAATGCCGCTAATTTTCCGAATTTTTGAACAAATTTCCTGCTGAAAGTTATTGATATTTTTACAAATCAAAGGACATCAAAGTCTAGGAGGTGACGATGAAGATCAATGTGCTTTGAGTTAAAAAAATATTAATAATTTTGTGCAGAAAATTTGTTTGAAAATTTCGAGGAAACGATGATCTTCTGTTATCCCTTAAACGTACTCAGTTTAAAGATCTTCACCAATTATGATGTGCAAACAGTTCTTGAAACTAGTGAATCAATTGATTGACAAATTTTAAATTCCTGTGTAGATTATATTGTAAGTATCCTTCAAATGAAGAAGTTCAATAGAATCTACCATGAGGTTCTTTTAGAAATGTGAAATAAACTAGGTTCAATACTTAAAATAAAAAAATTTGAATAGAAAGGTGGTCGTCTTGCATTTTCATTCCTTGTTCGATGTAAATGGTCATACTTAAAAACTTGAAGAATAATTCGGTAAAAGTAAGTATTTGTTCTATTGTAACTCCTTTTTAGAGGGATACGCCAAAAAGTTGAATGTTCTCATTTGAAGAAAAAACCAGGTTCTTTTGATATTCTACAGCAGACATTTTCATTCAGTGAAAAAAAAAATACAATAAACAACACTAATTAGTAAGTTATTTTCACATTTGGTTGTTCTCACTCTGTCAATATTGATTTCCCAATTATGACTGAAACTATTTTAGAAACGTTAAGAGGCTGCTTTTGGAGTTATCGAAATTTCCCCACGAACAGCCTCTTGATTTTTTTTTTATTGTGAAACAGCCTCTTGATTGATTCTCCCAAACGTTATCATTCTAGTAGCGAAGCGGTTCCAGTCGATTTTGACTATTGGCCAGTTTTCAATGAATATCTTGAAATCTAAGGGAGATGGCAAAATTTTTGTTATAACCTTTTTTGTAGCCTTCAACTCGCTCTACCCAAAGGTCATTATGATAATTTCGCTATCTCCCTTAGATTCGAAGGTATTCCTCGAAAACTCAGCTAAGGATTAAATATCGACTTCAACCGTTTTATCGCTTCATTACTGATTTGTTTCAAATATCGTCACGTTTACTTTATCATTTTGATCTCTAGTCTCAATTCGATTTTTTCATTTATATATTTTCTTTTTCGTTTAATATTTTTACACTATTATGATAAAGCGATAAAAGATGAATACAGCAGTGTCATCGTTTTTGAAAGTTTCATTCATGTATATAAAAGAAAATTACCTGGGGTACTCCAGGTAGAATCTCGCCACATCTGATGATCACCAAGATGAAGTATCCCACCTCCCTTGACACCACCCTCATCCTTGGAACCGCCCTCATCCACGCCCCACAGTTTTTTAGCCGAGGGTGCGATCTGCAAAGAAATAAAATAACAATATACTCAACAGGAAATAAATACTAATAAGTATTAACATAGCCTGTGTTGAAGGTGTTTTTTGAGGGCAATGAATACCCTACATTTAATCGTAAATGCTTGACTATGTGATAATGCTAATTCAAGGAGTAACAATCACTTTGCGTGAGAAATTTCGTTATCGTCCACTGCACTGCGATTTCAGATTATTTGCGGTTAAAGGTGAGCATGGTCTGTGATCCGTAAAGTACACGGAGTTCATTTATTTCCATTCTTTTCATGTTTGTTTGGAGAATTAGATTAGAAAATTGAAAAAACTAATGCAGTGAAGTTTGATAATCTATCTAGACTGTAGATTCTACAAGTCAATTATTAAATAATCTCTTCTCTGTCCATCGCATTGTTCGCACACTGAGAAAAACAAAGTTTTTTAAGGCGTAAGTCTTTACTTATATCAAGAGACTCGTGGCTTGAAAATTTCCATGAACAAAATATTGTGCACTGAAAAAAAACTTTCGCCAAGAAATTTTGTACTTGTCCTAAAGACGAGGGCAATATCTTGATGCCAAGAAAGCAATTTCTCAAACCAAGTAAAATTGAATTAATTCACTTAATAGGTTTTTTAGACTCAATTCTAAAATATTTTAATGCAAAAACCACTTGAACTGATTTGAGAACTCGTTTTCTTGGCGTTTTCTTGGCGTAAGATTTTTTTTTCTTAGTGTGAGATATTGTGCACTTGGTAATTTTCGAGCCATGAATTTCTTGACACAAGTAAAGACATATTTCTCAAGAAACTCTTGTCTTACCAATGTATATCAATGTTTCACGTAGACCTGAGGCCTGTCAAACACAGTGCACAGAAAGAGTGAGGGAAAATCCTATTCATCGATCAGCCGAAATCTATATAACAAGTGGATAATTGCATTTTTTAAATAAATGAGTATAGTTATTGTTGCTAATAAATTAGCAATTTGCTTCCGAATGGATTCTCTTTTTTTTAATTCTTATTTCACTATTCTCTTCTATTTTTTTGTCATAGTACTATTATCAATTGCAGCCATTAAAATTTTACATATTATTTGGTTCTGTAAAATAATTCTACATTCAAATCCTCTGAAGATTCCAATTCGTTTTTGGTCCGGGTTTAATCGGGATTTATTCAGGGCTTAGCCAGAGTTTAACCCACGTTCTGTCAGAAGTTAGTCGGAATCATGAATCGATATGAATAAGTATTCAATCTAATAGACTGGTACCTGAATTTAAAAGAGAGATTTTTTTTGTATAAAAAGCTCATGACAGTATTGTGTGACTTGATAAGCAATGATAATGTCCTCATCGTTTCTCAACTTAATTAAGAAGGCATTGAAATATACTTTTCAAGCCCTGATTTAATTGATATTACTGGTCATTCTTCGAATAATCATGAAAAAACTGATTTTCTCTTGAAAACTCTTTCAAATCGCATAAATAATGTACTGTAACTCCACTGAGAAAAAAAATTATTTTTGCCAAATATTCATTTACTTGAGAGAAGCATGTATTTTTCCAAAATCGTATTTCTTCAATCGAGTCATACACAGGCGACCCTGATTAGGTTTCAATTATAACAATCATATTGCTCTAGAGGATGACTATGCTGCATTTGACCTTGGATGAACTCCTCCACTGATTATTCATTTTTCCTAGAGGAGGGTGGGGCAAAATGGAACGCGGGGCACAATGGAACGGTACAAAAAATGAATATAAAGCGAAATTCAGATTTTTTTTTTCACCTTATGTGAGGTCAAAAATGATGATTCGGGGTTAAGTCAGTGACATCAGTCTACTCTGTAGTTATCGCTATCTTGTAATCTAAGGGAGATAGGAGAATTTTGATAAGGACCTTTTTGTAGAGAATTTCAAGGGCTATAAAAAACGTCATTATAAACATTTTGCTATCTTCATTGTAAAAAAGATAATTCAAGGTTAAAAAACTGAAGAAAAATCTGATCTCTGTAAATTCAATTATAGAGTAATAGACGATTATAGATAAACAAATAAGACCTTTGGAATATTATTATTGTTCTATGAATGAATTGAATATTAAAAAAAGGTCCTATAGTTTTTGAAAACCAAAATTCACTACCGTTCCATTTTGCCCCACTCTCCCCTTTTCTTGAAAATTAATAGAAATCTGGAAAGTTAAGGTAAATAAATTTTTGAATTTTCAATTGATTGAAAATTGAAGAATACATTATATGATATAGTTTACTAAGGTTTACTAATGTTTTGTTTGAAAATTCAGATCAGTTGAGGAATTCTCATCCTTCTGCTCTTCAAAAATTTCGAATTGCAATGAATTTTCATTATTTTTCCCCTGTATCGAAATCAGTCACTGTTTTGAAAATATTTAGACAACTGCTCATGAAATTTCAGTTTTCTTTCAACTATTTAGCCTACTAAAAGAGAGGAAAATGTCACATTTTATCTCAAATCATTCGTTCCGGTGTCATACACTGAGAGCAAAATCGTCATAATATCACAAAACTAATTTCTTGTGCCAAATATTTCATCTCTTGAGGAGAAATTTCTTGGGATAAGAATTTTTTGTACCGTTCCATTTTGCTCCGCGTTCCATTTTGCCCCACCCTCTCCTAAATTTTCTATTTTTTAGAGGGAAGAATTTCGACTAATTTTTCAATGTTGATAATTATTGAGGGAGTGCATAACTAACATGCTCATCTTCTGGAGCAATATAAGTGTCATAGTTGACACCTAATGACTATCGCCTGGGAATGACTCGACTAGAGATATACGGCATTGAAAAAATAAGTACTTCTCTCATGTAAATGGATATTTGGCAAAAATAATTTGTTTTTTCAGTGTCAACAACGAGCATGTCCGACTCCCATTATATTCTGACAGAATCAAAAGGGTATGTTACTAATTTTTTGAGCCATGACTAATTCCATTTTGATGACAATTTTGTAAAGTGATCGTTGAAAAATCTATTTCTGGAAAATATTGAATTTGTTGTAACTGTATGAAAAATTGAATTTTAATTGGTGTCAATGAATAGAACGTAATCAAGCCTACATTCATGGAAAAATTCGTAAAATTCCATTGATCTCTTATAGGAAAATTTCGCAACAAAAATTGAAGAAAAAAGACTACATACATACATACAGACATCATCTAAAAATCGCTATTCGGACTTATTCGACCATATTTACTTATTCTAATACAAAAAATTGGAAACGTAACATTGAGCGATTACAAAGCTTCCATTCGGGAGCAAAAATACTTTGAAAGCTGTTTTGAGGATAGTGTGATGAAAAGGCAATATGATGTTATATTATTATATTGGAAATTTCTTTCAAGTGAAGAGGTGTAGGGCAATTGACAATACACTCTTCTTGTAGGGAACTTGAGAGCAACAAAAAAAGCTCCCATGTCATTTTTTTCTGCACCTACGATAGTGGTAGCGATATTGATAAAGATATCTACTCGTATATACTTGAACTATACGTATACATAGAGAAAGAAACATGTTCTCACGCAAGTCTTATACCAACAATAAAAAATTTAATTCTGAACATTTAATGTGTCCTGAGCTGTTTTTTTTTGTCGCAGCAATAAATTTAGTAATTTTTTGAGCAAGCAAGAAATCTCATTTCTAGCATTAGCTACGCGTTATTCAATACTACCATACATATTTTTCTACCGAAAAAACCATTGCTGTATGCCGAACAACCGACAGCAGTTTTTCGTTTCGGTTATCGAATACTCAGGGATGAGAAATGACTTTGTAAATAGAATAATATTGATCATATGATAGCAATCCTGTCACTTAAAAATCAAGTTTATTTAAATTGTTGGATTTCATGGAACAAAATAGTATTCAAAAATCAATCGCTCGACACATTTCAGTGTCACCACATAAAATTCTTCAGACTGAGTTTCTTAAAACTGTGTTTATATTACGTGACGACCGCATGGCGAGCGACTACGGATACTATGAACAAAACATAGAACAAAGGACAAAGAGAAAATGCGTTCTAAGTGGTCGAATGTACTGGTCCTTATTTTTCTGAAGTTAGTCTCCGATAGCCGGAGTTAGAGTAAAGATCGAGATGCGTCTTCTACATGCGATTGAATAAAGAGTCACAGTCAAATTAAATTCACAGAGTTATAATTCAATCCTATCCATAAAATCAATACAAATTAACTTCACTTTAGGGGAGATATTTTCATCCTGAATTTTGAAAATTTTCATCCTGAAAAGTGAAACTTTCGTTTCAAATGAAGGAATTTGTTGACATTTATCATTTGCAATTTTTTTAGTTGTAACGGAACTTTCTTGAGAATACTTTTTCCTCTCAATGAATAATAGGCTTAGGCGAATATATCAAAGAGCTTTTCCGTCGCAAATCTGCAATGTTACACAAGAGGTTTTTTGACACATTCTTCTAAAATTCACCATTTCCGATTAGCAAGGTAATTTGCTCGTGAACTTTGAATTAATCTACTGATTCCAAGTCACACAGGGGCAATTTTGCAAATTTTCAAACCGAAGAAGGTCACTGAAGCATGTCAGGAGACCCCGTCCGTAAAAAATTTCAAGATCCACAAAAAAAGTTTACTGGGATTTTTGCCTAAATCCAATTCGGCGAATAATCTGTCCGACATTTCCCGACTTATCTCCTTCTAGCGCCTTGCTGTTGAATTATTCTACTGCCATGAATATTTTGCATCAGGAAACGAATTGAAGTGTGAAGTATTCCCGCCACGTAGGGGGATTTGCTCAACAAGGAGCCGCAACTCCAATTTTCACCCTCGAAACCTCATTATTTATTCTCACGTGCCAAACAAATTGAAAAACTAAAGATCTCTGATCGTTGGGGATGAAGTTTCTCGTTCAGAAGGCATGACGTTTGAGGAATTAGAAATAGTGCACTGGGAATTTTTCAATAAATGTTCAATCCTCGTAAAGTCATCCTTAAGAAAAGACACTACGA